GGGCCTGTGCGGAAGGAGCGGGCTCCGCGGGGGCGGGGCTTAGGGCCTCGCGGGGACGCGGCCGAGGCCGGGGGCGGGGCCTCCGGGAAGGGGCGGGCAAAGCCGGCGGGTGGCGGACACCTGGCCGGCGGGCGGCGGGTAGACAGACGGACGGGCGGACGGCGGTAGGACGGGCCGGGGCCGGCCTTGCGCGTGCCGTGCCGCCGCCATGACAGGTGAGCGCGGGCCGGCCGGGTGGTGCCTGCTGTCCCTGGACGTGCGCGCGGCCCGGTGGCCCCCCAGGGCCCGGCTGCTCCGACATCCCCCGGGGCCACTCCTCGCCAGCGCCCTGGTGACCTTGCCCGTGACCGCCTCCCTTGTCGGTGGGACGACGGCGGAGTGGGGGCCGCGCGGTGGGTGGGGGCCGCTGTCCGGCCCCGGAGGGTCCTGGGGGACTGTGGTCAGTCCCCGGAGTGTCTTGGGGTGCTGTGGTCCGGCCCCGGAAGGGCTTGGGGAGCGGTGGTCAGTCCCCGGAGGGTCCTGAGGGGCCGTGGTCGCGCCCCGGAAGGTCTTGGGGGGCGGTGGTCAGTCCCTGCAGGGTCCTGGGGGGCGGGCGCCACTAGCGTCAGTGGGTGGGGAGGTGCTGGGGTGGGCGTGCAGCCCGACAGGCTGGGAGGTGAAAGTAACAGCGGGCCAGCAGTACTTTGCCGGCCTGCTGTGCTCCTGGTGGGAGATGCAGACGCTACATCCTCACAGCCCTTTGACGATGGGGCCCGTGTGCGGCATCCCTGGGACTCTGTGGTCCCTCCGCGGCTGCACTGTTGCCCAGGGATAGGCCCGGAGAATCACGGACCCAGACTGGGGTCCCCAAGGCTTTGTGCTCTACGCTGGGTGGCCCCAGCCCCTCCAGCTTCTTTTCCCAGGATGGAGTCCCCAGCCCAGCCCTCCCCCAGGGCCTCTCTGTACTGGGGACCTGGCCATCACCCTCCTGACCCCAGCCGAGCAAGGCGACCCTGCTCTGTGGACTTTCCTCAGTTGGAGAAGCCCCATGAGAGCGATGGGCATGTGTCGGACCAGACCCCATAACAGCATGGGCAGGGCGTGTGGGGGCTCCCAGAAACCACACCTTATTCTTGAGGGCCCCACTCTTCTGCCTGGTGGGGCAGAAGTCACCTAGGGGTGGCCCAGGGGGTCAAGGAGACCCCAGAAGTCCCTGTTGTCTCTCCCCAGCACTTGCTGGAGGGGCAGCCTGGGTCCTGCACACACAGGATTTCATGGGTTGGAACCTGGTGACTTCTGGGACACCAGTGTTCCAGCTTGGACCAGAAGAGACCCAGTTGCCACCTGCTCCCCTGTCATCTCTTTGAACCCTTTGAATTTGGGGCTGCCGTTTCTGAGCACCTACTGTGTGCCTGGCCCTGTGTCGGGCACAGCCCATCCAGAATCGCCATGGGGGGCACGTGGAATGTGATCTCTGTGTGTGGATGAGGAAACAAAGGTCCAGCAGCAGAACCCAGAGTAGACCTGTGTCCTGCCCGGCCCCCTGATCCCCCTTCCTCCTGCTCTCCCTGTGTGCTGGGACTCTGGAGACCCTCCCCCCACAGCCTTTCATTTTTGGGATGCAGAACCGAGGCCCAGAGAGTGCAGGCCTCGGGGGCGTCAAATGGGCAGCCCTGCAAGGCTGCCTCCCGGCATTCTGGCTCCCTGGCCCTGGGCACCAACGGGGGCCTGCCTTGTGCTGGTTCTGGGGCCTCCAGGGTGAGCACGTGTGGGACGTGATGCAACTTGAAGACTGGAATGGTGTCCACACAGGGCCAGCGCTGGCCAAGTGTCACTGCAACTGTGACTTGCTGCAGAACCAGCCCCTGCCTTGTGGTGTGCTGAGGAGTGAGCCGTCTCAGCTCCATGCCAAGGCTGGGGCAGATGCTGGGACAGCAGGGGAGGTTGAGGCCCAAGCATCTGGACTGTGGTGGAGCGGGGGCCAGGAGAACTCAGGAAGGCCTCTTGAGGGGAGGACAGTGAGCTGAGCACGAGTTAGACGGGTGAAAACCACAGGGACAGGTGTTCTTGGCCCGGGCGGGGGTCCCTGGGAGTCCAGTGCAGCCCCAATGGCTCAGGGACCCGGGGGGCCGGGTGAGGGCAGATGGGCCAGCTCCCAGAGGGCCTCGAGTGCCAGGCCTGGGTACCAGGTTGAGGGTCTGTGGTCCAGCTGGGCAAGAAGGTGGGGCTTGGCAAAGGGAGCTGGCAAAGCCTGGTGAGTCTGGGGCCAGGGCATTCCTCCTCCTTTATCCTGTAAAAACTGTCTAGGACTGTTCATCAGGACCTGTGACCAAAGTGGTTTCCTTTCTTGTGCTTTTTTGTGCCTCCAGTGGCCATCTGGGTGTGGTTGCAGACACAGCTCACAGTGAGCACAGGAAGCACAGGGCGCGGCAGAGCCCAGAGCCTTGGCCCCGGGCGGTGCTGCTGTGCCGCTGCACCCGTGACTCATGGCTCAAGGCAGCAGAGGCCCCGCCAGGCTTGTGGCCGGCAGGGCAGAGGAGCTGCTACAGGGTGCTGGCCACCATCCACTGACAGCCCTTGCCCTTGGGCCTTGGACTTAGGTCCATGCGCTCCAGAACTCTTTAGTGAGCGCCTACTGTGTGCCAGTCCTGTGCACAGGTACACGCGCTGGGGAGGCAGTGCTGGACAGGACGGCCTCTGGCCTGCCCTCGTGGGCCTGGCCAGGAGCAGACATGATGCAGCTAAGTGCACAGTTAATTCGTGTGTCAGTTAGAGGGGCAGAAAGTCTAGATGTCAAGAGGTCGCCCCAACACTGTGCCTGGGTCCCGACCTCGATTTGTCACTCCCTAGCTGGCTGAGGTCTTGGGCAGATACTTATGCCTCAGTTTCCCCATCTGAAAATGGGGCTAGCGGTTATGCTTGCGTTGCAGAGCTGCTGGAAGGATAAAGATTTTCTTTGTGCCTAGAGCCCACAGATTGCCCAGCTGTGCGGCACAGTCCGGGAACTGTGGCCAGTGTTCTTAACTGTAGTCAGAGAGGCTGCAGGCACTGAAGCCAGGTGGCCAGGAGGGTCCCTGTGGCCGTGGCCGATCACTCCCTTGGCGTTTCTGTGCACGGCCTTTTTACTGTGGTGGGGCTGCTGATGAGTCCATGTTCCAGATAGACCTTCAGGGGCTGGGAGAATTCGGAAGTTGGAAATTCATATTCTGGGGAGAAAGACCAGCTAGGAGGAGCTGGCAATGGGGAGAGAGATGAGGAGTCATACGGTCTGTGGACAAGTTGGCCCCACAGAGGAAATCGGGGAGGAGGCCCCACTGGTTCCAACACAATGACCCCATTTTAAAAAATCAACTTTATTGGGGTGTAATTTACTTACAAGCAAATGCACTCATTTTTAGTGAATAATTCGGTAAGTTTTGACAAATGTATATACCCATGGACCTACCACCCCAGGCCAATCAAGACAGAACATTTCTATCACTCCAGAAAGTTCTTCGCGCTTCTTTCTAGGTAACCCCGCCTGACCCACGGATTCATCTGCTTTCTGTGACCCCCATTTGTTCTTTATAATTCAACAATTGAATTTCCAAATAGTATTTCTTTTTAGTTAGTAGAGGTTACTTTCAGAGCTGTTTCTTTTACAGAAAATTGAGCAGGTAGCGGAGATGGTCCCCAACCCCGCCCCTGTTTCCCCTGTTGTTAACATCTTGCACTGGTGTGGTGTCTTTGTTATAATTGATGAGCCACTACAGATACGTTATTACTAGCTGAAGTCCATAGTTTACATTGTGGTTCACTCCTCGTGTTGTACTTTCTGAGTTTTGGAAGATGCATGAGGTCCTGTATCCACCATTACAGTATCATACAGAGTGGTTTCACTGCCCTAAGTCCTCTGTGCTCCACCTGTTCATCCTTCCCTCTTCCCTAACCCCTGGCAACCACTGATCCTTCTACTGTGTCCGTAGTTTCGCATTTTCCGGAGTGTTGTATTGTTGGAATCATACATGTGTAACCTTTTTGAATTGGCTTCTTTTACTCTTGGCAATATTCATTTAAGTTTCTCCCATGTGTTTTCAGTGACCTCATAGGTCTTTTCTTTTTATCACTGAATTATATTTCACTGTATAGCTGAGCCACAGTTTAATTATCCATTCACTTTGTGTGTGTGGTAAAATATACAGAACATAAAATTTACCATTTTAACCATTTCAGTGGCATTAAATACATTCATAATGTTGTGAAACCATCACCACTATCCATTTTCAGAACTTTTTCATCCTCCCAAAGAGAAAAATCTGTGCCTATTAAACAATAACTCCCCTTTCTCCCCTACTTCCAGTTCCTGGTAATCACTAGTCTACTTTCTGTCTCTAGAATGTGCCTATTCTAGATATTTCTCGTAAGTGGAATCATACAATATTATCCTTTTGTGTTTGAGTTATTTCACTGAGCATAACGTTTTCAAGGTTCATCCACATATTTGAATATTTCATTCCTTTTTATGGCTATATGGTATTCCGTTTGATGTATATACCATGTTTTGTTTATCCATTCATCTGTCAATGGACAGCTGAATTATAAGGTTAGGGTTATTTCTGCCTTTTGACTATTGTGACTAATGCTGCAGTGAAAATGGGTGTGCAAGTATCTGTTTGAGTGAGTCCCTGCTTTCAATTCTTTTGGGTCTGTACCCAGAAGTGGAATTGCTGGGCCATGTAGTAACTCTCTGTTCACCTTTCTGCAGGGCGGCTGTACTGTTTTCCACAGGGGCTGCACCATTTTACTTGCCCACCAGCAGTGCGTGAGAGTTCCAATGTCTCTACATCCTCATTGTCCATGTACATATCACACTAATGAGTAGGAAGTGGTATCTCATTGTGTTTTGATTTTCGTTTCCCTGATGACTAGTGATGTTGAGCATCTTTTCATGTGCTTCGTAGTCATTTGTATATCTTCTTTGGAGAAATGCCTATTCAAGTCCTTTGCTCATTTTTGAATTAGGTTATTTGTGGGTTTTTTGTTGTTGAGGTACAGGAGTTCTTTATATATTCTGGATATTAATCCCTTATCAGATATATGATTTGCAAATATTTTCTCCCATTATATGGGCTGTCTTTTCACTCTCTCTTTTTCTTTTTTCCCTGTTCAAAATAGAGTTTAGTTATGGAATAAAGAACTCCTACAACTCAACAACAACAAAAACTCCACAAAATAGGGTTTATTTTTTCTACTATGCCATTGGTCTATATGTCTGTCCTTATGCTAGTACCACACTGCTTTGATTACTGTAGCTTTGTAGTAAGTTTTGAAATCAGAAAGTGTGAGTCTGCCAACTTTGTTCTTCTCTTTCAGGATTGTTTTTGCTATGCAAGTCCCGTGAAATTCCATGTGAAGTTTAGGATGAGTTTTTCTGTTTCTGCAAAAAAACGCCGTTGGGGTGGGGTTTGGATAGGGGTTATCTTGAATTTGTACATCACTTTGGGTAGTATTGTCATCTTCACAATATTAAGTCTTTCAATTCATGAACATGGGATGTCTTTCCATTTATTTGTGTCTTCTTTAATTTATTTCAGCACTGTTTTGTAGTTTTCAGTATACATTTATTCGTAAATATTTATTCCTAAATATTTTATTCTTTTTGATGTTATTGTAGAATGGAATTGTTTTCTTATTTCCTTTTTGGATTGTTCATGTTTAGTATATAGAAATGCAACTGATTTTTGTGTGTTGACTTGGTATCCTGCTACTTTACTGAATTTGCTCTAATGGTTTTTTTTTTTTTAATCTTAAGCATTTTCTTATATATAAGATCATGTCATCTGCAAACAGATAATTTTACTTCCTTCTTTCCAATTTGGATATCTTTTATTTCCTTTTTTTGCCTAATTTATCTGTCTAGAACTTACAGTACTATGTTGAATAGAAGTGGTGAGCGTGGGCATCCTTGTCTTGTTTCTGATCTTTGGAGAAAAGATTTTAGTCTTTCATTGAGTATGATGTTTGCTGTGGGCTTTTCATATATCACCTATATCATGTTGAGGAAGTTTCCTTCTATTCCTGATTTTTGATTTTTTTTTTAATCAAGAAAGGATGTTGACTTTTTTCAGATGCTTTTTCTGTATCACTTGAGATAATTGTTTGTTTTTCCCCCCTTTGTTCTGTAGATGTCTGTTGGGTATCATTGGTTTATGGGGCTGTTCACAGCCTCTGTTTCCTTATTGATCTTCTGTCTATTACTGAAAGTGGGATATTGAAGTCTCTAGCTATTATTGTAAAGCTGTCTGTTTCTCCCTTCAGTTTTGCCAATGTTTGCTTCATATATTTTGGGGCTGTGATATTTGGTGCATATGTGTTTGTTGTGTCTTCTTGGTGAATTGACTCTTTTATTAATATATAATGTACTTCATTGTCTCTTTAACAGTTTTTGACTTAATGTCTATTTTTTGTCATATTAGTATAGCCACCTAAGCTCTCTTTTGGTTACTGTTTCCGTGGAATATCTTTTTCCATTCTTTCACTTTCAACCTATTTGTGTCTTTAGATCTAAAGTGAGTCTTTTTTTTGCTAAGGAAGATTCGCCCTGAGCTAACACCTGTCACCAATCTTCCTCTATTGTTTTTTGTATGTGGGTTGCATGGCCACCACTAAGTGGTGTAGGTCCGCCCCCGGGAACTGAACCGGGCTGCCAGAGCAGAGCGCCCATAAAGTGAGTCTTTTGAAGACAGCATATAGTTGAGTCATATTTTTTAAATCCTGAGAGGAAAAAACTTCTGTTTCTCCTCTACTCTTACACACAACACTCATACTTCTGACACTTCTGGTCACCAAATGTGTGGTCCCCCCACCAAGCAATTCTGCAGGTTTCTGGGAGACACCAACTGGGTGTCCTACAGTTTAACTCTGTCTGGCACCGTCTGCCCAGAGACAGCGTTAGGCGCACCTGTTAAGGGCTCAGTGCCACAAGACTGCTCCCAGTTCAGATGCCAGCCACAGGCTCAGGTTGTCACCTGAGCTAACCCAGCTTCTGAACGACCCAAGACCCGCCCCCCCAGGTTTGGTCATTTGCTGAAATGGCTCACAGAACTCAGGGAAACACTTTACTTGCTATTGCCGATTTGTTACAAAGGATATTTCAGAGCAAACAGATGAACATCCAGCTGGAAGAGATGCATAGGGCAAGGCATGCAGGAAGGGGCGCAGAGCTTCCATGCCCTCCCAGAACCTTCATGTGTTCACTAAGCCAGGAGTGCTCCAAACCTTGTCCTTTTGGGTTTTTACGGAGGCTTCATTACGTAGGTGTGACTGGTTAAATCATCAGCCATTGGTGATTGATTTAACTTCCAGCCCCTCTCCCCTCCCGGGAGGTTGGGGAGTGGGGGGATGCAGAGGGCTGAAGTTTCTACCCCTCCAATCACGTGGTTGGTTCCCCTGGCAACCAGCTCTCACCCTGTGGTTATTTAGGGGCTTTCCAGAAATCACCTCATTAACACACCCTCAGATGAAGTTGAAAGGGGCTTGTTATAAGTAACAAAAGACACTCTTTCCCCTGGCTCTTATCACTTAGGAAATTCCAAGGGTTTTAGGAGCTGTGCTCCAGGAAGTGGGATGAAGACCAAATATATGTTTCTTATAAATCACAGTATCACAGGTCCATTCTGCCAACCCATGTCTTCTGATTGGAGAGTTGAATCCGTTTATATTTAACTACTGATGAGGAATCACTTGTTCTGCCTCTGTGCTATTTGTTTTCTGTGTGTCTGGTAGCTTTTTTATCCTTCATTTCTTCCAGTACTGCCTGCTTTTGTGTTTAGTTGATTTTTGTAGTAAGACATTTTGATTTTCTTTTGTGTATATTCTGTGGACGTTTTCTTTGTGGTTAGCGTGAGGATTACACATAACATCCTAAAGTTATAACCATCTAATTTGAATTGATACCAACTTCACTCCAATCACATACAAAAACCTCCTCCTGTACGGTCCTGCCTGCCCCCTGCCCTTCCCCAGGCCTGGGCACTTCCAGAGGGCCCTGCGGGGACCCGTGGACGGTGGACACTCGGCCGCTCTGAGTGTACTTTCTGCAGTAAGCTCTCAGGTGTGGGAGAGAGGGGCCAGAGGCTGCACTCTGCTTTTCAGCACTCTGGACCATTCTCGCCGCACCCGCCCACCCCATTGTCTGGCCAGGGGTCTGCAGGATGTGGGGGCTCCGGGCTGTGTGGGAGGCCCATGCGGGCTGGGACGGCACTGGTTGTCCAGGGGTTTACAGCGAGTGCGCCTCCCGCGGGGAGCGTCGCTGGGAGGCTCTGCGCCGAGGCTGTCATGGTGTGTGGGACTGGCCGCCCCCTTCAGGCCGCTCTGGCTCATGCCCTCTGCACTCTCTGCTCCTGCTGCAGAGCAGACCTACTGCGACCGCCTGGTCCAGGACACGCCCTTCCTGACGGCCCGTGGACGCCTGAGTGAGCAGCAGGTGGACAGGATCATCCTCCAGCTGAACCGCTACTGCCCCCAGATCCTCAGCAACAAGGACGCGGAAAAGGTGCCGAGGGGAGGACCTGAGGCTGCTCTCCCATCCCTTCCTCTCTGGGCTGGGAGAAAGCAGGAGGCAGGGCAGCTCGGAGCTGAAAACCTGTCTCCTCGGGGTGACCTTGGGTCCAGAACATCAGCTCTCTGAGCCTCGGTCTCTTCATATGTCATCAGGAGATACTGGGGGATCACAGGAGACAACATGTGACAACACGCCGCAGACCTGGGAGGGGGGCGGGGGAGGGCCAAGGAGGAAGAGGGGCAGGGGTACCGGCCAGGCCCCACCCCGGTGCCACAGGGCTCTTCACTCTGCATCTTCTGGAGGTTCAAAGTGCAAATGTTGTGGGTGCGATCTGGCCCATCCTGTTGGGGACACTGGGTGAGGTTGCCCCACCCACTCTCTGGCTCCCCTGTGGGGTGGAGGGTGGGTGCCCGAGGGAGCCCTTCTCTCTGGGGGCTGCAGCCTTCTCCCTTGGTGCAGGGTGACGGTGCCCCATGCAGGGCTGTCCAGAGGGTTGGGGCCTCTCCTGAGGGCAGATGAGGCCGGTGCCCGATAGACCCGGGGCCCGCGTGCACCCTGCTCCTGGCTCCAACTCTTCTTAAGTTATGAAAGTAGCACAGGAACTTAAAAAGGGGGCTCAAATTTATATCTTGTTGTAATTAAAAGTCTAATACACATTCATTGTAAACAATTTTAGAAAGTTTCACACGTGTCTACAAGAAAAAGGAAACTCCTCTGCACACACCGCGCGATTGCTCTCTTCACAGGTACGCGTGGCCCCGGCGCTCACTGTCTGCTTTGCAGTTTCTGCACTTCTGTGGTTCAACTCGGGTTCCACGTAGAATGGTATGCCGCCACCAGGTGGCAGCATGGGGCCACGCTTCCAGGTCTTGGGGGGACAACACCAAGTGCCCTGTCCACTGACCTTTAGAACCACACATTTCTCTGTCAAACACGTCAAAAGAACCAGACTTATTCTCCTTAACCCTCGATTTATTTCTTAAACACTTGAATCACAATCCTGTAGACCGTAAACTACAAGCAGTTATCACGCTGTCACCTCACTGATTCCCTGTAACGACCCTGCCGTGTGGGTTTATTATTCCCCTTTTACAGATGAGGAAACTGAGTCTGAGGGGTGAAGCGACTTGCCGAAGTCACACAGCAAGCCAAGTTCCCACACTTAGGATAATGTCACTGTCCTCTTTCTTGGTGACCTGTCCTGGCCTCCACGGGGAGTGGGAGGATTGGTGGCTGTGCTGTGACTGTGGCTCAGTCACTACCTCCCCAGGGGTGTTCTGAGCAGCGGGGGGCATCACCCCACGAGGAAGCTGGAGCCCCACCTGCCCCACGGCCGCCTTTGGCCTGGCCCCTCCGGCCTGACCTTCCCTTTCGCCCCTTCTGCCCCCAGTTCCGGAACCCCAAGGTGTCCCTTCGCGTGCGGCTCTGCGACCTACTGGGCCACCTGCAGCGGAGCAGCGAGCGGGACTGCCAGGAGTTCTACCGCGCCCTGTACATCCACGCCGAGCCGCTGCATCGCTGCCTGCCCAGCCGGCACGCCCTGCGTAAGTGCGCGTCCCGTCCTCAGGCCTTGGCGCCTCCCGCTCTGCCCCTCGCCAGAGACCACCTCTGGCCGGGTCTCGTGTGGCCCCCCGAGAGAGTAGAGTATTTTGGGCAACACAGGTGTCTCTCTCCCTGTCTCTCTCTCTCTGGCTCTCTGTCCCTGTCTCTCTCTGTCCCTGTCTCTCTGTCTCTCTTTCTCCTTGTCTCTGTCTCTCTCTGTCCCTGTCTCTCTCTGTCTCTCTCTCCCCCTGTCTCTCTCTGTCCCTGTCTCTCTCTCTC